TTGATAACGATTAAATCTGTAGCAGTAGGTGAATTCACCCAAAATGTATCCCACGGCCAAGGGTAAGCCTCACTCTACCTAGTAATTCGAATGAAATAAACTGAATAAGCAGATTATTATGAAATAGCTGCAAGCCGATTAAACAGCGCTCTTTTGAAAAGAGGCCTGCGATCTGCCTATGACATAATTTATTCTTTTTTGTTATGGAGTATCTTGCTATAAATCCTTTTCATTTCAGCAGTTAGACGGATGTCTGAAGCAGGTTTTCCCTCTCTTTATTTAACATTAGATCTGCATTCAATATTACTATTGATTTCTTTTGTTAAACAATCTTCTACTTTTGAATGATCCAGGTGTTATGAGAAACGCAAGTCATTCCTATTATATAGTCTCGTTAAGCAATGTGATAGACTGCATGCGAGATGAATTATAATAGCTCAATTCTAATAAAGTAGATAAAGTTTTTAATGCAAAGTCGTGAACGAAATTGGACCTTGTATTTTAGCATAGATCAGTCACGTTATTTTGATCTAATAATTTGATTTAATTCTGAGAAAGAAATTTATAACAGAAAACTGCTTGTTCATTTCAGTATATTTAAGCGCAATAGGCAGAATTTCGGCAAAATCGGAGGTTGCCTGATATCGAATAAATTACCTGTGTACTTTATTACGAGAGAACGAAACCAATTTTTTGCGTTGGGCTATGACATGCATTTGCGGATGCATGTACATACGGCGAATGCAACGAAAATTGGCAGCTAGGGCCAAATAGTAATTGCCTAGTTGGCTATTGAAACAGGAAAATAGAACTCCTCGTTCATCCACTACTGAACATTTGCTCGATACGGGTCATTCTGTGGGCCCCAAAACTTATTTCCCAGTACTTGTTCGCGCACGAAAAACTCGTACCTTGCGCAACCTGGAGACAGCCTATATACGGTGGTCAGAACCGCACCTATGTTAAAAGTTGGAACATATAATTAACCTACCTTACATTGGTAAGTACCGGCTCCTGATTTACACATTTACCTTTCCACCTTTTCGCTTTAATATTTTTTTCGTCACTTAAATTCCACATTGTTTTAAGGTGCCTGCTCTACTGATTACCCTTCTTGACCAGTTTCTATGAACTTATTGACCTCTTTTTTGTAGGAATGTGCAGCGAGAGGAAGCAGCTGCTGAGCACTCTCGAAATTAACTGATCCATTAAATTCTGCTGTTTCTTAAACGCTTTTTGCCCAAATTGTGATTTTTTGGGTATTATTTGTAAGGCACCTGTCCGGTTGGGTCACGGTTGTAGAATCACCAAAACGTGCTTACTCATTGCCGGGAAAAATTAATGACCGGAATAAAAGTCGGATTTTAATACGCCTAAGATAAAAAAACTGGGATTTCTATTACATCTTACCCCTTAACATAGCGCTTTAATTAGATATTTCGGCGTCCACTATCTGCGTAGTTTACCGTTTTCGGGGTTTCAGTCGATAGTAAATGGCAAAGTGTTTATATTTGAGCAGTTTTCAATGTACTTCCTTAATTGTAGGCTCCATTCTTATATTGCAAAGGCAAAACGGAGTGGCAGAATATATACTATGGTTTTCGAAAACTGAGGATCTTCTGCCCGTTCCGTTTAAAGTGTCCCTGTTCGTTCATACTGAACTGTAGATAGTAAACTGTTGGACATCTTTTGCCTATCGCCTGTCAAAGAAAAGTGACTTCAGGTCTTGGATGTTTATCCATGTGCTTCCTTTGGCTCAGGCTTTTCCATGTGGTAAAACAACTTACAGTCTTATACATTTATTACTCAATTATATGGCACAAAACCTAGCAGATTTGCAAAAAAAATTTTTCTAAATTAAATTCGCCCTTCATTTCACGACAGTAATGCGTAGGCTTATATTTGTACTTACCTCAATTTCATGAACGTAAAACATAAGTTTTTCTTCGCTGAACAGATATAATTAAAACGTTTCCGAGATTTATTAATGTTCTTTTATGGTACAACACGCACAAAGTAGAAGGTTTTGCCTGCAACGTTTAATAGCACGAAAAATTCATTAGATATCAGGAAATGTTGGATTTCTGCTTATTGGGTCCACTATTTTCTTCAATACACTCATCTGAAGTGAACTCTTTTCTAGTAAAGAACATAACGTTGTCAAGTGTATTTAATGAATGAAATAAACAGCCTCAAATTTGTGTTAAAACACGCATTATTAAGAATGTTTGGCAGATTTGCTTAATCTAGTTGACCCAATTGTAAAGAAACTCGCGGCGTTCGGCGTGGCGTTTGTAGCTCAAGTGGTAAAGCGTTGGTTGCGTAAAGGCCTTTCCTGCTATGCGGGTTCAAATCCCGCCGAAGACCGCAAGTTTCTTCACAATCGGGTCAATTAATTAAGCAAATCTGTTAAACCTCTTAAATAATAGTCAGCCTAGTAGTCCATTTGGTGGATTCTAGATGATTGCTTAGGAAATCTTGCTTGGGCAGTCAACTGCTGCCCCGTATTGGTGGATTTCATATGAGCGGCAAATCTGGTGGATTCTAGATGATTGCTTAGGAAATCCTGCTTGGGCAGTCAGCTTGATCTTTCGTATTGGTGAAAAGCATACGAGCAGTAAAGTTGGACTGGTAAAATTGATCCCATTATGATTAAATACACGGCGCAAGGCGAAGTGTTTGTAGCTCAAGTGGTAGCGCATTGGCTGCGTAAAGGCCTTCCCTGCTTTTCGGGTTCGACTCCCGCCGAATGCCGCAAGGTTTTTCACAATTGGGTCAACTAAAACACGCATTACAATTTCCGCCAATCCACTGTAGTGTTTTGAGGGTTCTGTGCTGTCATCCACGACAAGACACATTTGAGCGTGTATCTCGCGAATGGTAGTCCAGTGCCCTGTGTGCGAGCCGGAAGGCCGTCACGTGCGCGCCAGTATTTAGTACAAGTTGCTGGTTGCTGCGCGAGCTTTTATCGTTTGCTTGTATGTCTTATAGAGCTCTCTGTGTGGAGTGTCAAGCACCGCTTACGTGAGTCTACACGTGATTTACATTAAGCTGCTTTTTGTTTCATAATTTTAAGGATAAAGTACAGTATGGTGAGTGCTGTATGCAACATGTCTAAGTTTGTAAAAGTTGGATTATTACTCGCATACCGGCGAGAACGGATGAACGAAATCTTAGAAATAATAATGAGCAGCATTAGGCATATTAAGTGCTTAAAATAACTATAAGAAGTACTAAGTATTGTTAAAGAAAAATAAAATTTTTCCGATAATCCCCAAGTTTCGGAGACGTAAAAAATAGCTATCAATTAGAACAATAAATTTAAATATGTTCTTTATCCGAAAAGTTTACGTAACCACTTTCTTTATATGAAAAACTTTTCTGTAGTCAAAATGTTTTGTACATATTACCATTAGTGGATAACTATTTATTGAATAGCGTCTCATAAAGTCTGGAATCATTTTGATCGTTTTCAGTGCCTTCGTTGATAAATTGATAAATGCTATTTTTGTTCGACGTTTACATCAAAAACTTTAAAATAAAGTATAAATAAAGAGCATTTACCGAAAAAATGAGTTTTTAGATATTAGTTCTTATGAAGATGGCCATGCGGGTCATATGCAGAAATGCCTCAAACTAGCAAACCACATTGTCAGGCATACAAGACGTCCGCAAGATACTGCGCCTATTGTTATTCTTAAAATTAATAAAAAACTTTCTATAATAGGTTACCGCTTTAACAAGTGCTTTAATTGGATATTTAGCAACGAATTTCTGTGTGTATTAACTAAGCCATAGGCGGGAAATGTGGTCGACAAATGTCTTGTCGTTAAAAAGGAAAAAAAGTAGAAACATTTCGATACATCATCTACTCAATCATATTGTGAATTAAATTTGCGTTCAGGAAACAAGGTGACAAGAAACTCCAAATACTGTAGGTTCTCGTACAAGGAAATTTGCTTAATTTATGTGACCCAATTGTGGAAAAAATCTCGCGGCGTATGGCGGGAGTCGAACCCGCATAGAAGGGAAGGCCTTTGCGCAGCTAACGCTGTACCACCAGGGCCACAAAAGCCAAGCTTTGCGCTATGAATTAAGCAAATATGCCAAAACCCCCTAAATAATTAAGTTAGCCTAGTAGTAATTCTGGTGGATTTTAGATGATTGCTTAGGAAATCCTGCTTGGGCAGTCAGCTTGCTGTTCCCTATCGGTAGATTCCACACGAGCGGTAAAGTTGGGCGGGTAAAATTGATCCAAGTTTGATTAAATTCACGGCTTAAGGCTTGGTGTCGTAGCTCAAATCGGTAGAGCGTTGGATTTGTGTAAAGGCCTTCCCTGCTGT